TCGTGCATTCTCCCTGATGGGAGATAATATTGAGCTCACATTAAATTTGGTTGGGTAGTGATAGAAGGATTTCAAAGAAAACTATATGGGTCATGCAAAATGACTGGAGAGATGGGAGATTTGAAAAGTTTAGAACTCTTTGGATTAGATTGTAGCTGAATAAAGGGGAACTCGAAACTGCTGTTTCCATTTTTTAAGAGATGGCAGAATATAGGCCCTTCTATTTCGCACTGAATAACGCTTGATAAATTACAGGGAGAGACTATTGAAAGAAATCATGTTCTTTGAAAAATGATTTGGTCTTTTAAGCTATCCCAAAGCTCTGTCCCCACAGCACTTTGTTATTGCTCTCAAGTTTTGACACGTTAACATACCAGAATGGGTCAGTACATCAAAAGCACAATGCAGAGAGGAAACAGAAGCAAAAAGCAGCACATCCACACTGTTTTTCACACCAGGGCTCACAAACATTTATTTTGGCCCCTCTAAAATCACTTCTTCCTGTGGCATTAAGGTGTCATTTCAATAGTTGTGAAAGACTTTGGTTGAGGACAAAACTGGTCCTGTTTTAAGCTGTGAATTAACTTTTCTCCTCAAGGACTTCTGCAAAACCTCAGTTTTATTAAAATCTGCATTTTGAGTCAAAATGGATTTCTAGTCATTCTGTAATAAAAAAGTGGCTATAAATATATTCACTGCACCATAAAAAAATAAGCATTCTTCTGTTTTCAAAGATTTATGAAGGAGATTTGGAGAGTGAATTTAATAACTTTGAGGACTGGGTGAAAACTTTCCAGCTTTTTAGAGGAAAATCTAATGACGAAGTTCATGCTGATGCTGAAGACAGAATAATAGGAAAATTTAAGGTAAGCTTTAATATTGATTACATGAGTAATAATTTAGAGACTTTAGGTTTTCATACATATTTCAGATATACCAGGAATGAAAGAAATAGACATTGACAGTCTGTTTAAATATAATTATGTCTTTTATTAGACCTAGAGTCATGTGTTTTCTTTTTCCATTTTCTGATAGAAAAAAAGCAGCATCCAGCATCAGGTGTTCACTGCTGTTTTGAAATAAGAAATTGCAGGGAGTTGGAAATCACAGAAGGGGAAGAAGAAATATATTATGTCGTCCAGCTTTCACTAATGCAACTTTATTGCTGCACTATCAGTTACAGCACCTCATGTGCAGCTTCATGTAATTTAAATGGAGGCCCTCACAGCTCCGGCCTGATCCAGGGCACCATCAGGCAATCTGAAAAGCTGAAAGCATGAGTAATGCTAATCAGCTTTCAAGCACTTTGTAGTTTAGAGGAACTGATTAAACTCATTGATGTCTCAATTATTTTACAATGCAAATTTCTGTCCAAATGACTAGTTAGTTGCTTTCAGGCAATATGAGCTACTCAGCAGTATGAGTCAATATTGATTTATATGACTTATATGGTGGCTGCAAAAACACAGTTAGATTCCTGTCACACTGTTGTGAAACTTACCCAATGGAATTATTAATTTGCAAATATACAGTTAAGGTCAAAATATTATTTTTAGAATGTTAATAACAGGAAAACTGGATTTAGAATGCCTGCAGGTGTTAATTTTAAATAATCAAATAATGAGCTAAGAGCATGCAGGTACTTCCACATTTAGATGTGGTAATGGCACCATGTTATAGAGAAAAGACATTTTAAAAGGTGATGTTTAGTGTACTGAGGTCTGGGTTCCTTGTGAGTTGTACCACGATGTACTGCAGCACAGGCTGCATGAATGATGTTTTGTTTGGGTTCAAAGAGTTGGTTGTATATTGCACCTGACCTATTCTCGAGGAAGATAAAAGTCAATGTATTCCCAGGGCTCCTTCTGCATATACCCGAGTCCTGAGGATGGCAGCTTGCTGGACGGAGGGCAGCCCCGCATCCTGCAAGGGATACCACCAAACCACTCTGTCAAAGTACTCATCAGGGTTTACATTGTGGCAGTAAGTAGACAGATGCTCTTCGAACCCTGAAATAACTTGGATGTTTCTTCTCAACTCTATTTACTTTCAATGGCTTTGCAGTGCAGCTTCCAAAAATCCCCATCCGTGTGGTATTATTTTTTCTGATCATATTTCAGACAATGTTTCATACTGTAGAAATGAGTGTTCAGGACAGAAAATTTTCTATATTCCTAATGAGAAACCTGGAGGTTTCTCCAAGACCGGAGAGTCACTTTAGTTGCTCAAACTGAAAGGGCTGGATGCATAACTAACATAGTATGGACAACCTGTTCCAGCCATGTTGTACAAACGAAGCCAGTTTTAATCAGTAGAGTTGTTTTAAAATGACACACATTTAAACAAAACCTCAGTAAGGAGGATATTATTTGAGGGCTGTGAATTGCACATTATCAAAGTGGTAGATGTTGTGAACAAGTTTTGGGGTTGATACCTTTAGAAGAACAGAAGACAAGAAGATGAGAGAGCACAGTGTGAGAAGAACTGGTATTTCAGAGAAGCAAGGGAGTGGCAGGTAATCTAAGAAAGACAGCATGCAAAGAGACAGTGGCAACGAAACAGAAGACAAGAATAGGAAGAGATCGCTTTATTTCATGAATATAAAGACTTAAAGGTCTTTTCCATCCTTAACAATTCTGTGATTCTATAAAGAATTGTTTTGTGCTCTTCAAGGACCTGGAACATTATTTTTGGAAGGCCTTTCCTGAATCCTACACGCACCTGTGCAGCCAGCTTCTTCCTCAGCATTGTCTCTCCTGCTCATCTTTTTGCATCTTAGTGGTGGGACAGCACTTACTTTTGCTCCACCTTTGCAAACTGCCTTCTCCTCCGGATCATCTTTTCCTAGTGGTCTGCAAAGCTAAAGGCCAAATTTTGTATTAGTTCAGGCAAGAAAAGCCCCTGCACTTCCAGAGCATCCAGGACTGAGCAGGAATGTTACATTTTCTGTGACCATGCTGCATTCAAGCAAACTTCTTGAGAAAAGTTTTAATTCCTAACAGGCATTTAACCTCAGCCCAGCTGATCCAGATGGCAAGTCAGATCCCTACATTGTGCTGAGACTGGGCAACACAGAAATTAAAGACAGAGAAAACTACATCCCCAAGCAGCTAAACCCTGTATTTGGAAGGTCAGTGATGACTTATTTTCTTGTTCAATGTAATTTGTGCTTTATCACTTGCTACCACTGTTGCTATTACTATTACAGAGTGTTTATTATAAGCTGATTTCTGCCTGTTTAGATGTTTTGTACTTATGCTGGTTAAAATATTGAGAATTTGTGTCACCCTGTATGATTATAAAATATTTCATTTTCATACCTATCAAAACACGTAAAGTAATGAAATCTGTAAAGAGGTTTTGCAAAATGATGCATGAGAGGAAATGAAGCAACAATGGTATTTTCTGTGCAAATTAATACAAACATTAAGTTTAACGTGAAATTAACATCAGAACAGTAAAGAGTGATTTCATAATCTTTGTTGCTATTTCAGGTTGAATAAAGTGCCAAATAAATCTCGTCGTTTTAGAGCTAGGACAAAATAAACAGCTTTTTGAACTCATATGGCCTTCTGAATGCAGGAGCCAGGGGCTAGCTGCCATAAACATCTACTTTGTATTATCAATGCTTTATACTTATTTATATTTTTAATGCTAATAGCTGAGATTTTTTTTCCCCAGTAAGTTTCCCTGTTTTAAGAAGGTTGAAAACATTTTGAATTGGGGTGCAGTTATTCTGTAAGAACATTAAAACAGAGAAACTATACTTTGAACTGAAAGCCCTGTAGAACAGGATCCTGTCTGCAAAAACAGAGACTTACAGACAAAAGTGTAAGGAAAACAGACAAGAGTGGTCCCTCCATAGCATGCCATCTCAGTTTCTGTGCCTTAAGCTCTTCCTTAGCAGAGGTTGCAACTGATCCATCATTATGACAAACCACAGAGCACAGCCTTTATACATATATATAAATGGAATGGGAAATCACCACTGTGTTTGTTTTAGGCAAGGAATGGGCTGTTGATTTGGACAGTCCTTGCTGCTGCTGGCAGTGACAGTACTGGAGTGACTGGACCAGCACCTCCCCTGCAGCAGTACTGTCAATCACAGTAAACACTTCTCATTATCCTAGAAACCCAGGTCAGCAGACACAACCAACTTCTAGCAATTCCAGACCATGCCCAAACCTATCTCTCCTTCTAAAAGTGCTCTGCTGTTGCTATGAAATTTACTTTTACTACCTTGAGAAAAAGAACAAAACTCATCCTTCAGGACACATTTTGCCTGTGCTTTGGAGAAATCTGGAGCCAGTGTTGTCTGATGAGGATGTCCTGTCTTCCACTAATTTATCAAATCATTGTTGTATAACTTTTATATTTTCATCCTCCCTAAACATCTCAATAATAATGATTCCTATCCCTGAAAAATGCACTGAGTGAAAAAGGGAGTTCTGATCTTTGCTTTTTTGAGACTTGTTTAAAACTTTTGTCTGATCATTTTGTTGGGTGCCCCCACACTCTTATTTTCAATATTTAACCTGCAGCTTTTGGAAGAGAACAGAAAAGACTCAGATGTACCTTTTGAGGCTTCTGAAAAGCATATGAAAACCCTTACATAGAGCTTGATAAGCCTGGTAATTTCCAGACTTCCACCTGTATTGGATTCAGGATGAATTATTGCAGTTGACCAGCTTCCATTTCTGTCTACTGTAGGAGCAATCTTAGAACTGTATAGGGGATGGTAGAGAAGGAGGAGGAAGAAAACTTTTGCACTGTGTGTTTCCAGCATGTTCGAATATTTAATTGAAGCAAAAAGCACTATCAAAAAACCCACTGCTTATTAGAAGGGACATGATTCACACATTGTTTGCACAGCATTCATTAGCTTAGTCTTTTAGGCTTCAAAACTGAGTTGACTGCATGTAGTTCTTAATTTTTCCTGTAGATCATTTGAAATTCAAGCTACATTCCCCAAGGATTCCTTGCTCAGAGTCCTGATCTATGACCATGATTTCGTGGGGACTGATGATCTCATTGGAGAGACTAAAATTGATTTGGAGAATCGTTTCTACAGCAGGCATCGAGCTACCTGTGGGTTACAGAGTCAATATGAAATGTAAGTAATTCTTCAGACAGCAACAGAGCACACAGTGAGTGACTTGACTTCACAGAAAAATTCCAGATGTGGCTAAATATTATGCTTTCTCCACCACAAAAGTGTCACGGGAGGTATTTTAATTAAAATTCACCATAGAGCTTAGTGGTGGCTCTGGATAGCTGCCAGCCTCAGTGGGAAATGGATATTTTAAAATTAACAGCACTGTTTGTTCAAGGAGTATTTTAGATAGAAAACAGCTCATGTATGACATACCTGTTTGATAAACTACCTTGGACAGGCATAATGGGTAAATAGGGAAAAGAATCTCCCAGAGATGTTATGCCAGGGCTCTACTCTGCTCTCTGTTATTCAGCTGCAACTGGTGTGATTGCAGAAAGGCAAGTGGGACTCATGTGGCACTGGGTGGAGAGGGAGCAGAGTGGGACTCCTGCTATGACCTCTCTGGCAGGGGAGAGTCATAGGGTGATGATGCTGTTCCTGGTCCCTGCCATGCAGCTGCACTCTCAAGGATGTTGTGCACAAAATTAACTAATCAATCCAAAATAACTCCACTGCCCTGGCGTGGGGCACTAAACTGGGAGATGTGGGTTTGGTGTTCTCCTATGATTGTTTCTCATTTTATCTATAAACAAAGAGTGGAAAATGGAAAAAAGCAATCCAGGAGCAGAGACTAAACCACAAAGCTTCCCTTGCTAGCTCATCTCCAGTGTGAGATATTTCTTCATGTCCCAGATAACCTCAGCTTCTCCTCTGCACATGGGAGTTGCACAGCACTTTTTCTTCAGTGGAGGTAGCACATGTAGACTTGAATTCTTTAGTTAGAACGTGGCTCAAGGTCTGGTCCTTTTCCTGTTGGGAAGCATGCCAATGCCTGGGTTACTTTATCTAAGCTCTGGGTAAGGCTGTCTCAGCTTCCCCTGTGTTTTCAGAGGAGTGGTTGGTCTCCAGCACCTGAGCAGACAGAGAGGGTTTCTCAAGAGGTAGTGCTGAACAATTCAAAGGGGAAGTTTGACTGAGCAGATGTCAGGGCCACTGACCACAAGGCGAATTCTACGTGGAAACTCCTGATTTGTCAGTGCACTTTGCTGAAAGAAACTTCACCTGTTTCTCTTCTCTCTCTGTTTCCTCCTTGCAGAGAAGGGTACAATGCATGGCGAGATGCAACCAAGCCAAGTGAGATCCTCACTAAGCTCTGCAAGGACTACAAAATCAATGGACCCTTCATGAGGCCGGGGGAGATACAAGTAGGAACAAAAGTCTTTAAGGGACAGACAGTCTTCACAGAAGATGAGAATGGTAATGAAGTAGTTTGGCATTCTTCAGTTGCATTGTAGCCATACCAAGTGCCTGCCCAAGCTGTAGTAGCGGCCCTGTTGTGCTATGCATTCTAAAGTCAGATTCTGGAGTCTGTGTCTGCTTTGAAACACTCATCTAACTGTGTCAGTTGAGGGTGTGTTTATATTAGCTTTTGCTGTACCTGAATTGCAGAGAATCTGTAGGGTGAAGCAGTTGTTGCTGGTAACCTGACATCCCGATGGTGGCTGCTGGGAGATACTTTGGACTAGCTCCTACCTGATCCCACGGATGGTATGCCCAGAATTAGTTGGAGTGCAGGGGACCCTCTTGGAACATGTCTTCTGGCTTAGTGCTGATCTGAGAGAAGTCCAACTTGCACACTCTGAGATCCTCCCGCACAATATATCAAAGCATGGGAAGTCAAGGAGAGTCTTTCAAGACATGCAATCCCTGTCTAAACTAAAACACTAGGGTAGAAAGACCCAGGAATTGAGAAGAAGAGGAAAGAGAAGTACAGATTTGAATGGAGTTGCTCAAGTTACTTAGTCTGGAGAAGGCTTAGAGGTGACCTCATCACACAGACCTTCAACTACCTGAAGCCAGGTGGGGGTTGGTCTCTTCTCCCAGGCAACCAACAATAGGACACGGGGACATGGGCTCAAGCTCTGCCAGGGGAGGTTTAGGTTAGATGTTAGGAAGAAATTCTTTACAGAGAGGGTAATCAGGCATTGGAACGGCCTGCCCAGAGAGGTGGTGGATTCACCATCCCTGGAGGTTTTTAAACAGAAATTGGACATGGCCCTTAGTGCCATGATATAGTAACTGGAGTTGGATCAGGGGTTGGACTCGATGATCTTGGAGGTCTTTTCCAACCCAATCTATTCTATGATTCTAAGGTTACACAAGTCTCTGACCACAGTTAGATTCACGGCCACTTACCTGCCAGTCCTATCTTTCCTACTTGTCCTTCCTCTTTGCTGATTTTTGTCTCTTCTTGATATCTTTGGGGTCCATGAATCCAAATGGCAGGACAGAAGTTACTTTCAGAACTCCCATATTAAAAAGAGGTCAAAGCTACCAGGACCTTGAGTGTCCATATCACACCAGGGTGCAGTGGGACAGAGTTATCAGTGAAAGATGTCTCTGCTGATGGCAGGGGGTTGGACAAGATGGTCTTTAAACATTCCTTCCAACTGAAACCATTCTATAGTTCAGTTTTATACTGAGGTTAAGGAAAAGAGGTGTAAGGATGGAGCCTTTCAAGGGGAAAAAAAGGAGTGGGCTTGAAGAAATAGTAGTGGACACTGGCAGTGCAGGAAAACCTCCACTCCCTTATCTGACCACATTCCTCTTGGCAGCTACAAAATACAGCTAAGGTAGCACTGTTGAAGGGAGAAAAGTTGATCCATTTTTTGCTTTCTGGCCTGAAAGCAATTTTTGATTCCAGTATTGCTGTTTATTTTCCTCACTAGCAGATGACTGTGTGTGACTACCAGAAACAGGATCTCTCAATCAAGATTCTAGTTCACTAAAATAAGATTAAGACAAACCAATGTCAGACAAGATGATGGAAATCAGAAGCAAGGAAATATAGAACCAGATGGCAAAGACCAAAGTACTTATGAACACAAGTTTTTCAACATGTTATACAGAAATAGTTTGTACCATACAGTCTTTGCATAATTCCTATCCAGACTGCTGTTCTGACAAGTACATCTGGATCATTATTTCCTGTCAGGTTTCTGTGGTTGTTGTCATTTGGGCCTATAAAACTAACAAAGGCTATGGATTTGAGCTCTAGAAGAGTGCTAGAAAAAGGAAGCAATACCTTTTCCACTGTAGAGGTGGAGAAAATTGTATTTATCCATCCAGCTTTAAATTGCAAGGGAAAGAAGAATTTGACTTTGCTTAGGAACACAGAAATCAGATGAAATAGAGTAGTTCAGTTGGAAGAGACAAAGCACAATCATCTTGTCCAACTGCCTGTCCGCTGCTCCCAGGTAGTCTAGGACTACCTGTAGCCAACAGGAAGAAATAGGCATCTTCAGAGGTAAAAGCAGTCTTTGTAAAGATGTCTTTGAGAGAATATGGGATATTGTAGGACAATCTGCATCATTACTACTGAGGCTGCCTGGCTGATTAGCTCAGGCTGGAGACCTTGCTTTTAGTTGGCTAAAATTAGATGAAACACATTGCACCTCAAACACATGTTGGTGCACATGAGGGAATCAAGATTCATAACCACAGGATCATCCTTTCCTCACTCTTTGAGCCGTTAGGAAGGGTTTAATACCTACTGTTTGAATTCCAAATGAGCCTTTTGTCAACTACCAGCAATTTGGAGACAGCAACACCCGCAGGAAAAGTGATAACAGTTTGCTGACACAAATAAATCTTAACCTTCTTCTCACTTAGGGACTTCTAATCTAGGAGATATCACTCTTCAAAAGTCTGGGCTCCTTTAGTGTGGAGCCCACACAAAAAAGGAGGAAAGAGAAATTCAAGAGCACAAAAGGCTTTCTCTGCTTTCTGCTATCCACCCTCCTATCAAATATTATCTTCCTTGGTCCTTTCTTGAGGTGCCATTCTCTGGGGTCTCCCTTCCAGTGGTCAAGCTGAGCTGGTCAGAAGGTGACATTTTCATGCCCATGGACTTCAACTCTCTTCCCTCGAGGTGTGATTCAGTTCTCCAGGAGGGTCTTTGCTGTCACTGACATAAAGCAAAATGAGGTGTAGATAACTGTTAGTGCCTGTTTACTGTCAGCTTTGTGAAATCCAAGTCACCTTGTCTTTCATGAGCTTCAAAAATTTGCAAGTTCTTGTAAAAAGGATAGTTTACAGGTTTCTTCCATCTTCTTGTTAAAAACTGCTACTGTAATAGTGAAATGATTTGCTGTTTTACAGGGAAACTGCTGCCTAAGTGCTAAACTTTTAGTTCCCCCTGTGGGTACCCTTATTTATGAGAACTAAGTGCATTTCAAGATCCTTCTTTATTTAGCTGGAATACATAAAACACTTCTGTTAACTCAAGCAAATTTTTAATTGCTATCTTTAATAGTTAATGCAACATATTACCGAGGGATTCAATATTATAATTCAGCTCCCTTTGTTGTTTTTGTTTTCCTCTTTCCTATAGAGGAGCCAGTTGAATCGTATGAACATCTCTCCTTAAAGGTTTTACGTGCTTGGGAGGAAATCCCTGGAGCTGGATACAAACTGGTCCCAGAGCACATTGAGACTCGGCCTCTCTACCATAAGGATAAGCCAGGCATGGAACAGGTAGAGCAGCTCAGAGGTGGTGCTGATGGCAGCCTCAGGAACAGTTTTCATTTCCTTCAGTTCTGGTGGTTTCTATTTGTAGCCACAAAGTTACAGAGTCAGCATCCAAGTGTTGCACCATACATGAGACTTCGTACTGTATCAACCTGGAAATTGTCACCCATGTGGGTATTACCCAGTACACAGTAATCACACAAGGTGTAACTGCTTCTTTTCATTATTTTAAATGTTTTAGTTTATTAATTTGATGAAACTTCTTATATTTGAACTTTGGCTCTTTTTTTTTCTGTTCGTCAAATACTATTTTTACATGGATTTTACCTTGAAGCTGACAGTGTTTGAGCTCTATTCCAACTTCACTAAATTCCTCAGAAATTGAATAAATAACTATGAAAAAAATATGCTGTGTAGAAAGTTAATAGATGAAACCATGGTTACATGAGAGTGAGATGGTTGATGCTCATAGACAAAGTGGTAGTTTTGGATGTCAGAACTATATTTAAATCCTTTTAAAGTCTCTGTAAAATTGGGTTGCAGAGATGTTTCTCTCTTTGTTTTCAAGGGCCGTGTACAGATGTGGGTCGACATGTTTCCTAATGATATGCCTCTGCCAGGCCCCCCAGTGGACATTTCACCAAGAAAACCCAAAGGGTAATACTCTATGCTTTCTCACAGCAATAACTCTTCAAAGACTGACTCTTTCTTAAGTGTCTGGAAATAAATAGAAAAAGAACTATTAAAAAAACTCTCTCCAATCCCAAGAAAAGTATTCTTGGGTTCATATGACTTCAAGTCCAACAAGATCATCTAGTTTGGTTTCCTCTGTTACACAACTCAAAGAGCTGTTGGTGGTTTTTTTCATCAAGGGCTATCACACACCTCTTTTAGAAAGAAATCCCTTTTTCATTTAGAGATTACATGTTGTATTAAATATGAGGACGGCCATGTAAATAAAACTGGGCACTCAGATGATGATGGCCTAAATTCAGCTTTATTCTCTTCATCCAGAATATTACATTGTCTTCACACAGCTGCTCACACACACTGTCTCCTAGAATCTTACATACTAACACTATTCTTAGCTCTATTATCTATATTTACCACGAGCCTTCACATATGATTGGACGTTCACATCTTATTTACATTCTTTCTCCCATGGTCAGGCTGCACAGCCTTGCTACATCCTCCGACAATTACAGGTAGCTAGAGGCAAGAGTTTCTTAATAATTCAGATGTTATCATCCACTTGTTGAGCTGAAAGAAGTAATTCTGGTTTCACTACCTCTTTCAGCGAGATAACTCACTTGACCCTGGTTGAGCTCTTTAATCTGATGCAGTAGTATTACACCTATTGGATTTCCAGCACTTTGTTCAAAGATAGATCAAGAAACACATAAAGCAGCAACAAAGAGGCAAGATCTGTTCAGAAGAACCTTCTTTCAAATTTCCCATTTACTTTTGCTGCTTTATGTGCAACAGTGTGCATAGTTCTTCAAGCTAATTGAATCTTTGTAAATAAAATACAAAAATAAGCTACAGAGTTCTCAGCCCATCCTATATTTTAGCAAGGCCTTTCCTGAGAATTTTGTCTGAAGCATCATCAGATACTATTCCTGTATTATTTATGTTTGAACAGGACACAATATAACAAAAATATGTTTAATTTCCTTTCCTTTTACAAAAACCAAGATTTGACAAGCAAACTAACAAACAAAAAAGAGTCCATGTAACAATTACCTCCTTCAGACCATAACTTTCTATAAAACTCCTTAACAACAAGAATTTTCCAATCCAAAAAGATTTAAAGCTAATCATGCCCACAAACCAAATTGTGGCTGCTATTTTTGTAGCAGGGGAAAACACTGTCAAATATTAATTATAAAAAAACCCACAACACCTAATCATGCAACCACAAATTACACATCTTTCTGAGAAATGCATATTTGCTGCAACAAAGGAGGCTCCAGGCTCCACAAAGCTTGAAACACTTTGTGAAAACGTCTCTCTCTTATTGACAATCTTTGACTGCACAAGGCTCTGATGGACCATTGCAAATGCAAGTTTCTTTGGCTGGTGCAGAGGTTGGCTGGTTTTCCTGGTCAATACCTCCTTAAAAGCTCCATGGCTGGATAACTTCTGGTTACTTCTGGAGAAGAGCATCTGGTAACTTTGGGAGCAAATTTTTCACACCCTGAGATTGAGGCTATTTCCAAGACAAAATGTGACATACCAGAAAAATTGTATGTTGGTGTTCTCAAACAGCTTTTTTTGGTCTTTTTTTATTAATTTTGCAGTTCATACAATGACTCAAGGAATATCTGAGTTTTTCTGTATCAGCTTTTTTATGTCACCTGCAATATCTGTATTTCAGTTCAAGCTTTGAGAGCTTTGGATGGATAGCCACCATAAATGTCTGTATATAGGGAGTGGAAAGGATGGGAAAACTTCAATTCCTTTTACTATTGTTTCTAAAGACGATTGTACTTGCTTAAATGAAAATATCTCTAAGCAGTCCTTCTCTTCCCTTTTAATGCACTAGATTGCATAAAATGCATTGTTTTTAGACATTTCTTCTGAAAAGCACCTCTCAGGGAGTTCTGGTTTTTATTAACAAGATGATCACTGTTTTGAAGACTATTCTGATGATGTTGTCCAGGTCAAATTTGCCTTGTTTCACTGCAGCATTTTTGTGAAAAGAATTGAAAATGAACAGGTATATGAAAAGTAAGGAATTTTCCATGCTCTGAAGCTGGCAGTGACCCTGCTTTTGTCCATCCTACTCCATGAGCTGAGAGGAACCAACACCGCCGCTCTATCACTAAACTCTTGTAAACAGAAGAGGCCTGAGGCTGATGCACAAATATAAAATTTCTCACTTTATAAAAGCATGATTTGATTTTTTTTTTTTTTTGCATTAGTGTCTGACTAGAGCTTTCTTTTTCAGCTATGAACTGAGAGTAATTATCTGGAATACAGAAGATGTAATTCTAGAAGATGAAAATATCTTTACAGGGCAAAAATCAAGTGATATCTATGTAAAAGGGTAAGTTCTTCAGCACTTCAAAGTAACATACAATATATTCAATAGGCTATTTGGTGACCTTAATACTTTCCTCTAAACATCCGCCCAAATTACACCTATATTGGATACTGCTTTCTTTTTTTTCTCTTTTTTTTCTCTGTTTTTTTTTTCTTAAAATCAAGTAACTGTAAAATGACACTAGTTGTTAGTTCCTACGCAGACAGAGATGGCACAAGACGAGAACAAAGCTCACAGCTTAGCAAAGAGAGATCTAACACTTACAGAACTTGAACTGTAAGAGCTTACACAAATGCAGAGAGGTTTGACATAATCAGAGAAAAGGGTATTATGACCACATGAGAAACAAGAGAGCAGGTGTTTACCAGGCTATTTTTATTGGAAATACCTTTTGATCTCATGTGGGGAGCATGTGTGGGTGGATGACCATGGCCAAGCCGAGGAGAACATCACATGGGCACTTTCTGCTCTCCATCTCCTTCCTTTCCTGAGATTGTAGCTGGTTACTTCTTAATTACTTGCCTCTTTTGGAGTACTGCTTTGCACTTTCTGCTTCTGAGTAGGATTTGCATGAAGGTACATGATGTTAGGAAATTATGGCAAAAGTGGCAGCATGAAGTACTGAAAAGCTCAGGTACCAGACTGATCTTAGATTTTTCAGTTTTTCCACTACTGAAGAGCAGGATAAATACACCAATATGAATTGTCTCATTGTGGAATCCTGGAAAAATCTGAATTTGTGGAGCACTAGGCATATGGCAAAATGAATTTCCTTAAAAACCTGACATGGTATTGCCAGTGACCAAATGTGAAAAAAAGCTGAAGGAGGGAGCACTGGGGCTAATGGATCAGGAAAGAGAGGATGTTTTCCACTTTGCTGGTTCTGAAAACCACATGAACACAATAAGATATCCTAAGTAAGCATAAGGACAGGGCAATCTTATAGCAGGTGTTACTCCTGTGTAGGAAATACCTACGTGAACTTTACCAGGGGAACTTGCAGTAGCTCTGAACAAGCTGTGTGGGGCACCAGGAGTGTCACCACTCCTTTGGAGCAGGCGATACTGGCCCAGGTGAAGCACACATCAGTACAGCCATTTGGCCCCAGTGTGCTGCAGGTGCAGGTATTGCATACACTGGCTGAGCAAACCTCTCCTTGCAGTTCCCTGAGAGGAGCTGCTCTGAAATCAGTGGTGTTGACACAGATATATCCAACCTAGCAATGAACTCATGTCTTCAGAGCAGTAGCAGAGTAGCTCTGAGAGCACGAAATTGAGGAACTAAATAGGAAGCCAGCCTCTGTGCTGAGCTGTGTGATAACATTGAGGACATCACTATCAATGCCAGAGTGGTCTTACAGGGAAGCGAGGAGTAGAAAACTTTTTGCTTAATGATGAAGACGTGAATCTCATTATGTTCAGACAGTGCCTGTGGCACTATATCTGTCACTGTGCATGGATTTGCATATGGGCAATGCTATGTTTCAGGTTGTCACTGTTTTTCATAATCCCTTGTTGAAATATTGGGGCTTGCAGGGGAATAATCACTCTTTTGATACAGCACAAAAATGTTAATGTTTACTCAAGCTGTGATAAATCATCTTTGGAACTAAAACATACCTACTTGGATCATTACCTCCATGGAGCACTTCAGAGGAGAAAATCATGCTTAGGAAAACACTATCCTTTTGCACATCCATTAGTGTGTACACTGTAGCAGAAAACAAGCAAAAAAAATCACAAAAAACCCCAGAGAGATTTCTCTAGCCATACTTATATGTTTATACCCCCAAACAGCAACTGCAAACAAATTAAGCTCCAATAACAAGCCCTGAAATCAGTCTTGGGACACTGACATAGAATTTGTTAGTGTGGCTCAGCATGAATGCAGGGTGATTAGTACTGGAGAAATGTCACTGTCGCTGCCTGTCCTAAAGATGAGGATGTTCTGGCCAGTAGCAAATGACCAACTGGTATTTTGGGGTCTGATAGAAATAAAAATCTTATTCTCACTCTCAGCTTTCCATCACCACTGGCCATTACTGAAGCCTCTGCCAGTAATGCACAGCTGGGAGGTGGCTGAGATCCCCAATCCAGGGCGGTTGCTGCATGTCACAGTCCTGAACAGCCTCTTACTGATAGGTAGGAAATAGCAAATGGTCATGCCTGTAACCAAATAACCATAATTACAATATAAGCTCCCCTGGTGACTGATGCTTTCCACTGTGATTGCTGTAGGTGGATAAAGGGACTGGAAGAGGACAAACAGGAGACAGACGTACATTACAATTCCTTGACAGGAGAGGGCAACTTCAACTGGCGCTTTGTGTTCCCGTTCCACTATCTCCCAGCAGAGAAACAAATCGTGGTTAGTAAAAGAGAAAACATATTTTCCTTGGAAAAGACAGAACGCAAAATACCTGCAGAGCTGGTACTTCAGGTGTGGGATTTCGAAAGGCTCTCTTCAGATGATTTCTTGGGTAAGTATGCAATGGGTCTGCCTGAACTTCACCTGAGGCCTCACCAGACCTGTGTTTTGTAGAGGTATGTACAGCACAGTGTCTGAGCCCCAGCTTCTGCTTGTCTTTTTCTGAAGCACCACATTGCAAACCTAAACATGTCTTGGAGAGTCACTCAGGTGAGATGATGCCAGGACAATTAAAATAAATAACTGGTAGTACAGAGGAATCCCCTACTCTGATTCTTGGGCCCAAGCTGCTTCATTGCTCTGTGTATCTTATCTGGAAACTGCTCCTTAAATGCTTTCGTGTCTATCTGGTCTCTGAGTGTTGTCACATTACTTCTTCCTCCAGGCACTCTTGAATTGGACCTGAACGGGTTCCCTCCGGCAGTAAAGACAGCCAAAAGCTGTGACTTAGGAACAGTTTTGGCAGCAAGTGAAGAGAACAAGATCTCCATATTTCAGCAGAAGCGTGTCAGAGGCTGGTGGCCTTTCATCAAGGCTGGGGAGCTCACGGTAGGCAGCTCACTACAGACGAGCAGCTTTTCTCTGGGACTGATAGGCTCTACTGAGATCCTGAAAAAGACAGGGGCTAATTTTGGATATGCCATCAGAAGAACAGCCACCACTGGCAATCTGTAGGAGTCCTCCAAATTCTTTAGCGATTCTCCATAGATTTGGTTCAGAAAAACCCAGGCAACCATAAGACTTTGTGCTTTTTCTTTACTTTCTTCCATTGTTTGTCTCCCAGCACACTGGATGGGTAAAGTGGGAAATCAGGTGTTTCCAGCCAACTTTATGTCAGCTGAGCAAATCCAGGAAAGAATCTCACCTGATTATTTATTTCTTTACTGTTTATGTCTAACTTCAACCTAGGCAAAGGAACTGATTTTGGCAAAGGAGTCTGCCATTGTTCATCTTGCTAGTGGCACATCTCAAGTAGAAAGAGCACAATCTTTTCTTCTTTTTGCAGTGTGCTCAGTGTTTTTTGGTTTAGTGACAGGATACAATTGGTATAGAGGAATGCAAAGGACAAAGACAGTTTCCCCAGAACTCTACAAGACTTGTTATGTGAGAAGAATCCTCCTAAGAAGAATATAAATGCTGTCACACAAATTTTAATTTACCTGAAGCCTCTAGCATAACAGGGCTTGCAGCAGAGTGTGAATCTCACTCAGACTGTACCTAAACATTTCACAAAATGACAGAATTGTTAGGGTTGGAAGGGACCTCCGGAGATCATCCAGTCCAACCCCCCTGCCAAGGCAGGGTGACCCAAAGCAGGTGACACAGGAACGTGTCCAGGTGGGTTTGGAATGTTTCCAGAGAGGGAGACCCCATGACCTCCCTGGGCAGCCTGTTCCAGTGCTCTGTCACCCTCAATGGAAAGAAGTTCTTCCTCACACTGAGGTGAAACTTCGTGTGTTTTGTTTTATGGTCATTGTTCTTGTCCTGTCACGGGGCACCATCGAAAAGAGTCTGGCACTATCCTCTTGGCACCCATCTTGGAGATATTTATGTGCATGAATGAGATCTCCCCTTAGTCTTCTCTTTTCTAGATCAAACAGGCCCAGCTCCAGCAATCTCACCTCACAAGAGAGATGCTCCAGACCCTGAGTCAGATTTGTAGCCTCCACTGGGCCCTCTCCAGGTGCTTCTTGTCTTTCTTGTACTGCGGAGTCCAGAACTGGACACACCACTCAGTTGTGGCCTCACTAGGGCTGAATAGAGGGGGAGGATCACCTCCTTCAACCTGCTGGACACACTCAGGGTTTATCTCAGCTGCTTCTGCTGCAGCTTCTCTTCATAATGTTGAAGTGCTTTCTGTGCATAATCTGAAGCTACAGTGAAATTCACATTGTTTAACACAACTCCTCCATTTTCTCTTTCTTTAAGGCTACTTTGTGCAGTCACAGCAGTGTAGGGATCCTCAGTGTAAATGAAAGACAGTTCTGATCCTCTGTTTCCAAGGTGGAGTGCAGGTATCAAGGCATGAAGTATATTCCAAGAGTTAATTCTGCACACAGTCTTTGGGTCATGTCTACATGAAACAAACAGAGCACGAAACAGAGCTGTGTGAGTTAGTGAAGGAAAACCCAAACTGATGTGCCTACAAGGCTATGGCATTTTGGATGCTTGAACCCTGACTTGGGGATGTCTACAGCCCTGTTCTGGAATTAGTGTGGTTGGA